TTTTTCTCTTACCCTATGCTGGTACTTCCAACTTCTCTCTCTGTATATATTTCGCCACATGCGTTGTATACAAGTATGTGTAGATATATACATACGTTTAGTAACAGTGTAATAGTTATCTTGATACCAAACATGCTACATTTTCACATTGTTCGTGAATTTTAGTTACCTCGTGAAAATCTATCTTCGGTAATTTATTCAAGATTACGTAAGAGTAAGGGAGTAGTACTTTTCGAAAAAGCATTTGAATTAATTAACACACGTTAAACGTTACACCACCGTTTTACTGGTGTCTTTTTCTATTTCACTTTGACAAATTTTTCCACATTTTTTGAACGTTTGACAAATACATTCTGAGCTTTTCTTTCATTATACTAGAAAATAGGAAACAAGAAATAGATTGTTATTCTTTCGCAAGATTTTTAAATATCGGATGGTATACGTATATGAATATTTTTACGTGAGCTTTCGAATTTCGCATGAAAGTGTATGCTTTGAAAAGCATTGCGTGAAAAATGTCGACGGGTTTACCAAGAAAATGTATTACAAAAAACTGTGGCGAGATTCATTTTTCGGAAGAGACGATATGTCTGTTTGCGATTCTCTTCTCCCTCTACCTCTCATACATATCCACCATACACACATAAACGAATACATGAAAGAACTCATATATACATTTTTTTTTCTCTTTTTTATTAGACGACGTTGAAAAATAAGGTCGAAAAGAAAGGAATAAATGGGTGAGAGAACTAAACGGAAGGGAAATGTATAACGTCGCGAAGCTAAGGAAAAAAGCAGATTTCATTGTACAAACTGTACAAGATATTTTCATGTATGACGTGTTTTCCTTTCCTATTTATTTCTTTATTCCTAAAGGACCAAGGTTGGTTAATGGCATAAAATCAAATCATCAAAAAAGTTGCTATCGAATATTTAATTTTTATAATACAATCGGTATATTATCTTTAATGTTTATTTAATTATTTATTTAAAGACCATTCCGCAAATTAAATTTTATTTAGATTAGAATGTTTACATCATTTTATGTTGACTTATATGTCGATCTATTTTTTTTTTTTTTTTCAATAGTCTAAAAACGCTGACGAATGTTAGCAAAATTCTCTTTGTTAGATACTATAGATAGTTGTATATAAAATTTGTTGCAAATGCAAAACTCGATAAGATGGGAAGAAAAGAAAAGTATGTCCTAGATAAAACGGAAAATATTATATTTTACAATAGTACTATTTCCATTTCCATAGAAAGACGTTTCCGACGTTTCCTTACTTTAGCCGAAAGTCGACGATTCTTCGGCGTAACGCACGAAATCTTTCGACGAACGCAATTTCATCGGCTTATCCTGCTTACCACGGGCGGTCTACTTACGTATATTCAAGATTCATGATATCGCATCAGGCAGCGGCACGGCGAGTTTCACCGGCCGGATAACAAGATTAATGAATTCTCCAAGATCGAACGTGCATGCTTGCATATTGTATCGATTGATTCGTGCCTGACTTCGCCGTACGGAAAATAAATCAACGTATATACATATACATATATATATATAGATACACGCATACGTACTTTTAAATAAGACCGTCGATTCAATACAGTTAAGCAAGACTCGTTTCTCGTTTCTCGTACCATTCGGATAACTCGTCGAAGGAATTTTACAATCGATTCGTGCAATAATAATAAATATCGTTAGCTCCTTAGTGTTATCTCGTTAAAATCAAATTTTGTCGAAGTATTGTGATATAATCTGTTAGATGATACATCAAATTTACGAATAGACCATAAAATGGTGAAGATTTTTGACAGTAGTAACAGAACAAAATCGTGTTTTAATCAATCTGCTATGGCAGTTCGTTAATGATGAAACATAGAACCTGTTTGTTCGCTTAACGAGACGCCAGTAGCGTCGTTGCATTTTTAAAGCGTCGTTTCGCCTACTCGACGCTTTGCCGATTAAAGCCCATCCCTCCCATAGCGAGTTTTATGGTGCGAGCGAATAGTGAGTCGTGCGGGCGTTCGTTCGCGTGCATTTGCGGTCTGGTTCAATCTAAAATGTACGCGCCACGTACTCTCGTTAAATGATACCGGACGAAAAAACTTGCCCGGAACTTTGCTAAGCGCTTTAAACTTCGTCAAAATTCATTGCTACAACGTGGCCGATAAAACGTATAACTACTCTCTCTCTCTGTCTCTCTCTCCTACCTCTAACACGAGATAGTCTTCAACGAGAACGCGCATTGAACTTCGTTTTCAAATACACGAGACAAAACTCAGCGAGTTCATTGTTATTCCTCGATCGAACGGTATTAACGTTTCATCGATTGCTACCGTTTTCACGTAATTCGCTAATATTTACGTTATACGAGTCCTATGTGCAATACAAAAAGCGAATCAAAAAAACCATGTCTCCGATTTTTTTTTTTTCATTGATATCTGCGTAAAAAAAGCAGTGATAAAAATAAAGAAAAATAAAAACATTTGAAATAATAGCTTGTTCAGGTTTGCTATTAAATACTTTTCACGTTAAATCACGTCGTTAAAAGCATTCATTATTTCGATTATTTTATTGTATCTGACCAATTCGAAATACCACGCTTATGTAATTTTCTAAATGCTATCATATTACGAGAAAATCGTTGTAGTTTTGTCGTACTTTTCGGCCTACAAATGGGGTTCATAAACACCGGTGCATATGAAAATTGAAATTTCCGCTGAATGCGTTTCGCGTATACATGTACCAATATGTCGGTACTGTTCGCAAACTCGAATAGCAAACGCTAAACGGAATGCATTTGACGGAGAATTGATGTGCATATTATAATATATTAACGGTAAATACATTTATCGTTTCCAAGTCGTAAATGAATGTTAACCCGTCCGGATGGTAATTTGCAACCTAAAGGAATTTTAAACAAAAAAGTATGAGACATGGAAAACGTATAAGTGATAAATGCGCTTGATATTAATATTATTTCCAAATATTTCAATATTTTTACGTAAATTTCATTTAGCTTATATATACCAAAATTCAAAAGTGAAAAAAGAAGCTTTTACAATTTAATTAATATTCCAAAATTGAGGTCACTATAATAAAAACTTCCATATTGTCGTTAAAAAATAACAAAATATAACAACGATATTCCGCATTTTGATTACGGAAAAGCGTAGTAATACAGTCCATTCTGTTTTCGTTGCAATCAAGGCGTCTGTTTCATTTAGCCTACAATAAACAAACACGCTTTTAGTATGTTTCCCTCTCTTGGAAAATGGTACTGATATTTTGTTTTTTATTTGCTTTTAAATACGATATCGAGTGTGTCTACACGGGGATAGCAGCGCGTGTCTGAAAAATAAAAATATGTGTATCGTAGTGTACTGCATTTTACACGTGATGTTATGGTTTAATGGCTCGAGATAACGCCTGGCCTCGAAAAACTGACGTGTACATAAAATCCTTTTTAGCAAGTCACACGTGTAAAATCACAAAGAGTCATCGTTGTTACCGATTCGTTCTCGTTTTCGTTACTACATCGAAAAATGCATTGTCCTAAACGAAAAAACCATATTTACCCTTTTGTTAAGTCATAAAAGAATTGTGCTAATAATTACTATAGAAAAAGTCTATTTTTTTTTTCCTCGCATTTTTTATTATCGCGTATCTATTATCACTTATTGTGACAAAGAAAGTCTTGTATGATGGTATTGAACATTTCAAAAGTGAAACATCGCTAAAAGTAACATTTGTTCGAGAAAAAAGAATCAAAAATACAGAGCAAAGAAAAAATGGACATTACGTGAGCGGTATCATTTGGAACGTTTATGAAAATATACAGACACCCTAGTCGTGTCCATGAATAAAATCACACAAACTTTATGTAAATTCTCGGACGTTTCTACTCGGCACTTCGTTATTTTTCTCCTTTTCTATCCATTATTATCCCACGTACTAGTTATCTATTTGCAATGATCCAACACACTTTTATTTAAATCAAATCATTTATCAAATTACTCGTATCTCTAAACAAATGTAATTATTTATTTTATCAATCAATTTTGAAGAGAAGTTCTGAAAAACAATGAATGAAATATTAGTACTCATTCATGACTTAACTTTCAGTCCCTATCTGTGCAACAAAATCTATTGAAATACTGTCATTCGAGAAAAGGAGCTTTTCGTGACCGTTTGTGTAAGGACGTTGACTGTATTTGCGAGAATTCTACCTATCGATCGACGCTAATTATTTCGACGCGACTGGAGAACTGGTTCTGGTTAGATAGTGGAAGTTTCTCGCACTTGTCCGTCGTTAAAGAGAGAAAGCAATCTCTTCGTCTAAACGAAGCGTTCAGTTTGCTACCTCAGATTGCTTCAAGATAGAAAACGGTTGGCCCAGGTACCGTCATATCGTCCATGCGTTGATAAGAATCTTTTGCATTTCTGCGCATTTCTCCACAATACGAACTTAATTAAAGAGAACGTTCCGATTGTTGTCATTTTCCTCGTTGCAAAGTTTCCACTACGAATAAATAGCATCAAATGAAAGGGACGTCGCTTATCATCGATGTATAGGTATATATGTTTAAGAAAGGATTCAATAATAAGCATTTTGTGATAGTATAAGGTGGAAGTTTATATCTACGATGATAAATAGATTTCTATGTGAAACTTGAAGATGAAAAATCTTGCCTTTTTATGGTATGTACTATGTGAATGTCGACTTTAACACGAATCTTGTTATAATAAATATTCAGTCTATGTAATTTAAGTGTTGCATGAATTTTTTTAAGTATACTGGGATAATTTTATTTATATATATATATAGGTATATATATTTATAAATTTATATAATGAAAGAAACATTTGAAAAGAATTATGATAACATAGCATTATGATCATTTTAAAGTGATAATGTATGTATAGAAATATGTATTGGTATGAAACATAACAGAAGATTTATTCAAATTATTCTTTCAAACGTTTTCAGGTTCACATGAAAGAAAACGTAAAGAGATGGATGCGCGAAGAATTCTTTCGAAACTTCGGACGACGGTTTTATCAAAAGTTTGATCTACGAGACTCGATAACTTATCTTGCTGTCGAACTCCGATCTTGAGAAGCGCCGCCGTTTGAACTTTACAAGTATTATTCGTGTGATGTGAAGAAGCAGCTTCCAATGGGCGTCTCGATTTTCCTACGGATTTCCCATTCATCGGATCCTGCACTAGCAACGCAAGCTCGCATCTCGCGATTCTCTCGTCTTAAGGAGATCGATGGTACTCGTTGTACGCTTCTACCAATAATGGAGCAATTTTTATGCTGATCTTATTCAAGAAAAGGGCCTTAGTTATTATAAGACGACGAGATCTATTTATTTTCTTAGATATTTGACCGACTCTCGAATATACGTCGATCTTTCATCGAACATTGAGAATCGTTTGTCATAACATAATACGTAAATTCGATGAATGGATGCTTTATATACCTGAATTGCGTTTAAATTTATATCAATTGTGTTATTCGTTCTTATATACACCTATATACTAAAATAATATATGTATTTACATAGATTTCTCCAACATGGAGTTCTCTGCTGATGATAAGGAAGATAAAGGGTTAAATTAAAATGAGAAATAAAAGACGTGGTTGATAGAAGGTATAATACTTTATTGGCTCGTCAGGGAAAACCTTGCGGCATAAAAGGGCCCATCAGGGCGTATGTAGTGGGGATACGAGTGGTGGGAGCGTGCCGTTAGCACTACGATATTCCCGCTAAACTAAGGTTTGTACTTCAAATAAAGTAATTTAATAAAAATTAATATAATCAATAGAGAATATGTTCTTTTTTGTCTTACAAGTTGATTTCTTATGCAGAAAACGTTCGAATTCATTTTGTATGTAGTTCGCGTAACGTTATCATTACGTTACATTCTTTATTATCACCAATTTCTAATCATAACTGAAAATACTACAAAATTTTTTAAATATTTATCCACGAGATTTGTTCTCATATTCGTCAAGAATTTCTATGCAATTTTTATAACATACAGGAATGATTTTAAAATTGGTTGGAAATAAAAAGCTTATTCAGCGAAACGTTTTTTACTGATTGAATCTCTTTCTCTCTTTCTATTTATCTATCTTCTTCGAAAAAAAAAGACGTAAAATTTTATTCTCTTTTTTCTTCCTCTTTTACTTTTTTTTTTTCTTGTCTTATAGACGACTATAAGCGATCGTGTTATCGATTTTTAAAATATAAAAAGTTTGACAAATTTTTCAAGAAGCACTTTGGAAACGCGTTGATAAAAGTCGTGAAAAAGTTTGTCAAAACGACGACTAAAAAAAAGAAATAAAGCCAAGAAACTATGACCAAGGATAGAGTTTAAGGATTTATATTTCGTTTTTTTTTTTTTTTTCAGTATCGTAAAAGTTTCCACGATGTAAGCTAAAGATAAAAGGACACTCGTCGTTAAAATCAACAGTTATTTATTTCTTATGGATAATCAATGCTTTTCGATGTTTCATATTTAAACAAGTTATGTTGAAAGAAGTCCATAAATATTCTCATGTACTTTATAATTTCATATACTTTTCATTCGTTTAATGTATACTACCAACTATGGTGTCTCTTAGATAACGTGTCAGTGAACGTTCTACCGAAAGGAAAAAAAGGAAGTACGTAACGGACGATTAGCCTTACGATAGGAAGCATCAAAGGAAACAAAAAAGAAAGAACAGACAGTAGATCTGAAGCGGTGCTCGGTCATTTTAGAAAATATGTCTAAGCAGCGTAATAATTAACGAGCTTATAGCCTTGCATACTTTACCGATCCGTCCTATCGAATGTAACGCTCGGTTGCACGTCTGTGTGATTTTAATAAACGCATGGAGTTTTAATTAAAACGATGGAAGGTGCGAGAGATTGAAAGAGAGAGAGAGAGAGAGAGAGAGAAGAACAGAAAGTATTAAGAACGTGCTTATAACGGCGAAACATATATACATGCATATATATTGTGCGTAACGATCGATAGCAGAGAGAGCCGAATGATAAATTAAGTTTAGTGCAAGAGCATCCCTTGTGTCGCAAACGTAAATTCGTACGGTGTTTATGGAGCCTGTTAATTACCTGCGACCAGTCAGTAAACACGATTCGGCGTTGAGTCGCTTAATCGCTTTGGTCCCCATCCGGGCTATAAATTTAAGCTCTCTTTCTACCAATACTCGTCTTAATCTTCGATCGATGTTTTCTCAAAGCCAACGCGCAAGAAACGTACGTTTGCTTATCGGACGTCTACACGATGTACGCAAAAAGCGAAGTAGGTAGGTGTATAAAAAACAGAAAGGCAGACATAGAGAGAGAGAGAGAGAGAGGAGGGATGAAAGATAAACAGGAAGCTTAATTGCGATATACGGTAATTGTTTCGAGTCATTTGAGGATCGACCATACGACGAATCTAATGACAAATAAAACGAAATGTTCTTCTTTACTCCTTCCATTCGTGGTTTTCGTTACTTGGCGCGACGTAGATAAAATATTTTTTATCTCCTCATTTTCTTTTACTTTTATTTGCACGTTAATATTATTATTATTATTATTACATTGACATCTAGATTTATTCGTTTATTGGAGTTCATTACCAGGAAAAGAGACGAAATCGAGGAAGATAAAAAATAAAAGTAATACGTAAGAATGATGGGAAGGGGGGAAATGGGGTAACGAGATTTCGTTCTTCGTTGGAAATCTGCGTATGAAGTGAGCCTGCAACGAAGTGAGGAATACGAAATCGTGGGCGAAACAGATTTTGCAAGCCTACTCGCAATACCGTTTCGTATTTCTCATTCCTGGTCAATTGCGATTTTACTATATATATGTATATCTATATGTATGTATATAATGATGTATGTATTCATAATAAGAATACATTTTACATTCTAACGTCGTTTAAATAATTCAGTATTCTATTTCCACACGATCAAGAAGAAAAAAAGCTTTACATTATACCGGCTTATTTGCAATTCTTCCGATTCTTTGAAATAATTATTTCTATTAAATAGCAAAAAAAAAATGATTATGCTTTATCAATAGCACGATCGTTAACGTTAATAACAGAGCCTTTATCTTGATAGTTACGATAGCGGTGCATTAGGTTGATCATTTCTCTCTATCTGGAATGTCGTGTCAAACGTGTCCAATGCCAATCTAGAATGTCTTTATAAAGTTATACTGTATAATGACTCTCATATGAGTAGATACGATTAAATTTGCATATTTTACTACAGCTAATAATAAAAGCAACATTTATATCGTAATTACATTGTACGTAAATACAATGTATTTGTAGTACAATAATTGTACAGTAGTAACAATAATTATAAAGAATTAAGATCAAATCATGATTTGGAACAAAATGTTCGACAAACTGTCCATATATATTTATTTAAAAAAAAATCAAATCAATGATCGAAATATTTGACATTTTAAAATAAATTCTAAGAGATATCTCTTACAGTTGCACCAAAGATTTTACATAAAATACGACTTAGATATTCGTAGAAGCATTGTTTGTAAGGAAAACACGAGTTAACAAAAATCACACGAGATGTTTCCGTCGTTTGTGAAAGAGAACCGTAACACATTTGATAACGAATACCTACATACATATATAAATTCTATTCTAGAACTATCACATAACAATTGTCTCGCAACTATTCTCTCTCTCTTTCTCTCTTTGCCATAGAAGGAAAGAGAAGATATATAACATATCAAGAGTACCTATTAATCCGTGATTCGTGTCGGCGTTAAAACCGATGGCGGTGGCCGGAGGCTTGAAATTTATTGTCGGGATAGTAGCAATAACGAATCGTAAACACTCTTTAGCCTTACGGCCTCTATTCGGGGCTACTATGTGGAAGGTATATATAATAGTTTGTGTTAGAAATAGAATGGAGCTCAGATTCGTCGATTTCGTAGAGCGTTTACGGAACCTGTTAATTATCGTCCACCGAGTTGGTCGGACACAGCACGGCGTCGAGTGGCTTAACCGCCCTGTTATATCTCTCTTCCTTCTCTCTCTATCTCTCTCTCTCTCTCTCTCGTAACATCCTTGTCTCTTTCTCGCAGCTCACTCGCATGCAAATCACTCGTACGTCGCCTTGCCCGCACGAACTCAGCACAATTCTACATTGAAATGGTCCTCTACTGTCTTCGTTTCTACTCCTATTCCTCTCTCTCTTCTGACTCCTACCGCAGATGCCTCCATACTATTGCTGCTGCTGCTGCTTCTGATGCTGCTGCTGCTGCTGCTGCTGCTGCAGCTGTGGCAGCAACGACGCGATCCATATAAGAGGAAGCAGTAAATCAAGCAGCTTGGTGTTAAGGACTCTCCCTTTACATCTACGTCGAGTAATGCCGTCGAATCGATCTTCGATGTGATGCTTTGAAGAATATTCTGACATAAGATGCATCAACAGACTCTTACCTTTTCTAAGTGCTACTCGCTCGAAGTTCTTATCRAGAGAGAGAGAGAGAGAGAGAGAGAGAGAGAGAGAGAGAGAGAGAGAMCTTCGGAAAGAGTATAGATCTTTTCTTTCTCAGTCACACTCACATACATACAGTCTCACTCTCTCTCTCTCTCTCTCTTTATCCCTCTCTACTAAAAGCTAGTTATCAATTTTAAAGAGAACGACGTTAAATTCTTAAATAGTCTTTGACAAGACGATGATTGACTTCACCATGACTTTGGAAGTAATAGTTTTTAATCTCATAGAGATTCATTCAGATGTTACGATTGGGTAAATTTTATTACATCGATAGGGAATACCAGATCCGATTATTTTATCGTGAAAGGAAAAGATTTAAACTCGATAGGATGGAATCTGAAATCAAGCTGGGGAGATGTAGCTCAAAATCGATATTACTTTTCTTCTTTTGAAGATAGGATGACTTCTATAGGTTATTTGAAATTTAGTATAAGGTAAAAAAGTATCTTTCTTAGATCATTTAATATCTTCCAGGTATCCATTCTTATCTTTCTGGCAGTTCGATTATTATGCCTTCTAGTATTTCCACGAAAAGAAAAAGGAGAAAATGGAAGAGTGAGATGCAAAATAGAACGTTTGAACTTATCCCTTTTTCTTTTTTATTCGCATTTTGAAAGCACGCATTTTAAGAGGATCTAGTTATTCGATATTCTGCGATCGGGAAAGAAGAAAACGTCTACTCCCATCTAAGTCGATCTATCGATCGATTCAAGCATGAAATCGTGATCGCGTGCATCGAAGAAGCATCTGGACATTTCATATTGGGTATTTTATACTAGCAGGATTAGAGAATCAAGATCTATCTTTTAGAAATAAATCCATGGAACGTGTAGCTTCTTTTTCGCGAGATATCGATTCCCACCGAAGAAAAGTCTTTTGAAATCGACACTACAAGATCGTCTAACGATAAATAATTGCATATTAATACTATTTGACGTTAAATTAAAACCATGGAATTTGCATTAATAGCAAGGATTAAATCGTTTCTAAAATATTTCTTTCGAGAACTTATCGATGGATTATCGGTTTAAATTTGAAAAAGGTGAGATCGAAAAGTATCGTTTTCTCTATTAGTCATTCGGATTTGGATCGTCTAGCAGGAGATAATATGATTCCGAAGGTTATACTGTCAGGATCGTAATCGAGCAGGTGGCTACTTGTTCACCTTGGACAGAAGAAGTCAGAAATTGCCAGAGTTCTCGCGCAGGGC